GTCCCGTGCATGATATTGATCTTCAGCACAACGAGGTGATATGTCAAGAAAGAGGGAGATAAGCAACAGTGCTGATAATGCATCATCATCGCCCATCGATTAAGACTCACTATGCTTTAAAATGGTATTAAGAACACCATAAGAATGTCATGTACACACATCATCTCGTACTATTAATACAAAAAGCCGGACTATAATGACGGACAAGCATCCTGGTGTGGAAGGATCTCCTAAAAAACTGGTCTTTAAAATTTTTCCAAATTCGTTTGCGCTTATGAAAACATAGTGTCAGGTCTTGGCTAGCGAATGATGAAAGCCACAAGTCTCTATCTTTTATTTCTTTTGAGTGGCACAAAAACTACCCACTGGCCTTGTATTTTGGCGCCGATAGTGGTCTACAAATTCTGAAACACTGGTAAACAAATATGCATCCTCATTTTATCCGTCCGAGCACAAGTTCAAATGTCGCGATTCGTGCGGATCACAAGTTTTCGGGCCTCTAGAAGAGCCTTACGGTAATGACATTCAATTTTTTCGAGAAAAAGAACATGCGGAGAAGAAAATTAATTTTTTTGTCTCAAAATTGAACTATTTTCTTCTTGACGATTTCGGAATAGAAAGGGAATATGATTCGTCACACTGTAGATAAGCAAATTAATAATAGTTCAACTTTATGACACTGAAGTGAAAGGGAGTTCAAAGCTCAAAACAAAGAAAATAAATTGCTATGTGCTCTATAGGTATTCTAGGGAAACTCTTTACTTACTTCATGTTCTCGAAGAAAATACCGAGTAAAACATAATGAAATCTAGTTGAAAAGAGTATAAACATCGAAAGAAGGTAGCGAAGGGTGTTGTAACAGAACATAGTGAGAAAAACGCTAATTTTTATACGCCTACCCATGTAAATATGTTTTGATCTTAGACGCGTCTGAAAGCGCGTTTTTTGCTGCGTTTAATCGCTCCGAAAATGCACCGTTTGCTAGCGTTTAAACGTGCTTTTCCAGACGGGTTTAAACGCGTTTTTTCTTTTTTTTTAAATATACTTTTAAAAAGATTTTTTTAGGCGTGTTTTTAATTCCTAGCTAAGGTTTCATTGTCTATTAGCCAGTGTGCGTCGATATGAGAAAAGCTTGACTTATTAGAAAGAAGTGTATGTTATATGACAGTGCCGTCGACGGGATTCGAACGTAGTATCTATGAATAGAAGGACAAATTACAAAGCAAGCTACTTACCCGCTCAACTAACTGAGTTTGCTGTTTGCTTTGTACTTTGTCAATGTGTACTTTTACATGGGTAAAGAATAATAAAATACATTCTGTATAAAAATACTGCTCTGAAATCGAACAGCGGCGAAGCAGATTATCAAAAAGCATAACACATTTTGCTCCATGTATTGTTACAGACGGGGCTTTTTATAAATAACCAACCGGCATCTGTTCAGAGCCGAAAAAGTTGGTAGTTAGGTAAAAAAACATTTTTTAACGTAACCCGTTTGCTTTCAAATTTCGTTAAAATAATACAATGCACTGAAAAATGTTTGAAAAATTGAATTCCAATAGATATTACAATACTCATAAAATTAATTTGTTTATGTGTAATGTTTCTTTCCGGCCCTAATTGCAGTTAAGTTAGAGAGCATTCGTCGAGAATATTAGGAAAAGGGTAATTGCTAAAGCTCGTAGCGCCACGAGATATTAGGTTATGGTTGATTAGATTATAGAAGTTTTATTTTTATTTGTTCAACTAACTTGATAACTGTGTTAAAATGTGCCAATGTCTAGTCGCAGCTAAAGTTCGCTCATTAATAATATTAAAAGTACTAGTTTTAAAACAGGTTCTGCGAGCAAAATATGATTTTTCCGGCCGTTACTCTACGTTTGCTTTTTCTCAATGGTTTTCACGCCGTTCAAAGTTATTCACTTGTATTCAGCGCAACTTTAGTGTGTGGCAAATGACGAGTTTAGACTGGTTAAAGAAGCAATTCCCGTAAGGCGTCTTATCTCGATTTTTGTGAAAAAAAATTTAATATAGATATTTAATAAATATTTTAATCGGCTGCTTTTTTTCTTTTGCTCTTTAAGATTAATTGTCAAAATGGACCGTTCTCCGTCTAGTAGAAGTGTTAGCTCGACAGCATCATCTTTAAAAAAGTCGAATGATAGTCACGTACTCATTCCCGGTCCAAATATAATTGTCTTTTAGCAAACATAGCTGAGACACACTTTTTTGTCGCACCATTTTTAGGCACTAAACGCTGTTCAAAAAACTTCATACTTATAGTCTGTGTAGTTCTAGGTTTCCTGAAACGACTCCAGTTGAAAATAAAGTTCGAAAAATTCTCTGAGACTTTCATACCAAGGCGGAAGTTGAAACGTTCGAGCAGCCACTGTGTCTCGACTGAAAAACAGAGCTCAAAACAAAATGAGCCATTTTGTAGAGAACTCAATTAGTCTCTATTCAATATGTTTTTAAAATTTTTTGAACAAAATGTCTAGGTCCGAAAATTGAAATTAAAGTTTTCAAAAATTTTAATATTGAAAATTAATTTTTTCTTCAAAATAAAAGTCAGATTCGCGATCAGCATGGAAAACTGCATCTAGTAATGTGTCCCGATCGATTTCCGAAAAAAAGAAATCGATGATGTTGTTGATTTTCACAGTACGTCTTTTACTTTTTTCTATCCCAAAACACGCAGGTCATGAAGCACAACTGATTGTCATTTGTTTAGAAAAAGAGAATTACTTGATGCTAGCTACTTATCAGTACGCTAAATTTGAAATAAATCATAATCAACTTCTGCTAAGTTTCTTTATCAAAACTTGTAGTTCATTTAATGAAGCAATCAAATCAATAAATCTAATAGAGAACTGGAATGAATAACTACCAGGACTTTCTACGCCAACAATGCAAAAAACTAACAAGTAATGTTCCTGTCTAGTTTACTGACTCTCGAAGCTTGAGATTTAAATAAATCAATTAGATGCATTATATAATGGTTTACTAACCCATAAACTTTATTTAAATTCGTACAAACATATGTGTGTGATCACACGGAAGTTTAACATAGCAGGTTAGGATCCTGAAGAAGAATTATTCTACTTTTATTCTCTTCTTTAAAATATTAAACTGCCTACTAGCTTGTACGAGCACATTGAAAAATGCGGCATGTTAATCCATTACTCGTAAACACGCTTGGATATCTATGAAAAGCAAAATGATGTGCTTCCAAAATCATTCTTCGACGCCCGGATTATTTGTGTCTGTTTAATCACTCATCGTTTGTTCCTGCATTAGCCTCTTCTTCATATGTTTGAAAAATAAATTGATTCTTTCATTTACCTCTGAGTTTGTAACTTGATGAAAGTTCGGTTATTGTCGACGAGTAGAAGTGACGCCAGTTTGTGGGTGTAGCCAAGAGAAAAACAAAGCCAGCTGCATAAATGTCCAGGTAGAATAACTCGTTGATCGATTGGTGGCGGATCTATTCCACTTACACAGAATATAAATGACTTCTACATAAAAATTATGACGAAGATAAAGATAATTATTGGAATCTTCATGAAGAGATACATCACAATTCACTCGCTCGAAAGATTTCCACTTCTTATGATTGACTTTTTCTCAAACACATTTGACGCATGGATCCGTTTGACGGATAGACTGACTGACTCGTCTTAAAGAGTTATCCGAGCATTCCAGTGTACTAAGAGTATGTCGATTGTGTCTTAATGTTGCAAGATAGCATATCAGCTGATAAGCTCCTCGAGCCTTATGACCTTGTTCTCATGCTCTATAAACTGGAATTTTCTCGTCAAAGTGTTAATCAAGCAAAATCCATGTGTTATCTCATATGCAGTCCTCTGCGTTTTAGTTGTCACTAGTTTTAGTTGGAACATGCGCATTTAAATTTTGTTTGAAAGAAGGAACAAAAGAAGCTTTTGTTTAAGGTGCCGGTAATTCAGAACTAGAGCAAAATTGTTTTTCGATTTATTAACATCACATTTGACTTACGAGGGAAGTTCCCCAGATGTTTAAAGCCTTTAGGTCCCATCTTTTGGCGATAGGTAGACCTCAATGAGGTATGAAAAACCTCAAGAGGTTTATCCCCTCGTGCCTTTATTCCCGAGATATCCAATTCTCAAGATACATACGAAACGGGACCGAAGTGGAAAATGATCGTTCTTAGAGAGCAGTAAAGTACTTAGGTGAAAAATTTTCAAAGCTTCACGCATTGCTCGTACTGCCTATTCTGGATTTAGTGCTAGATCATATCGCATCAGTACCACCTCTAAGGGCTGTTCATCGGGTCACAGAACATCCAGAACTCTTCATTTCACATCTGATTTCATTATACACTGCAAAAGATTAATGAAAGCAACTAACACAATAGCGATTATCTTTTCATCTTCCTTGCTGGCGTACCAACATGTCTGACTTACAACTATGCGTGTTCTTTTTTTACGTTTCTCTACTTTCTTTCTCCATGTGTTCCTCTCTTTCATGTCGGAATCATACCACGAAGTTGTTTCTCTCTTCATTCGATTGTTTACGATATACAAGTGACGTACGAGCAAGCATCCGATACCAGTTTTGCTCACGCCTTTTTCGAAATGATCAACTCTGCAAATGTTGTGAAAATTTTCGCTGATTGAGCATCGAACTTATTGTCTACTGTGTCGAACAGCGCGACCTCCGTCACTACTGTCACAAATCGTGAATGTGAAGTAGCCGACCTGTTGTGCGGTGTGCTGGAATCGATTATTAGCAGCCACTCCCACACCTTTGAAGTCGAAACAACTCTTGATCATGAGTTAGCCGATGACGAATTGATCAATGATGTCGAGTGCGAAGATACAGATGAAGGAACATGGGATCCCAACTGGAATGATGAGGATGAAGATGAAGATGAAGAGGCGGCGTTGTGCAGACAGTTTTCACTCGATTATATGGCCAGGACAGACAAATTCTATGATGAAATTAATCCACAAACTGGAAAACGAAAGAGACGATGGGAGACGGTGAAACACCTTCCAACGTATCCCGCATCAAACCTATCTCTCGCGCCTTCGCCGTTATCTTGAAAAACATGGAACCAAGAAACAGCAGCTCGAGAAAATCGACGATTATGTATTTGATATGTTGGAGCGGGCTCGAGAGAAAGCGCTGCCAGTGCACGATATTGATCTACGACGATGGGCTCTTAAACAGGCTATGGATGAGTCCTTATACAATTTTGTCGCTTCAAAACATTGGTTGTACACATTTAAACACAAATACAATATTATCTCGCGCAAGATAACGAAGGTGAGACATTTGTAACTATTTCTAAGAAATTTTGGGAAGGAAGCTCTCTCCTCTAAAATGAGATAAACATGAAAAAAGAGGCTTTCCAAATTTCAGACTTGTCGGTTTTGCACAGTCGTCGTTTGCCCTAGGATTCCTAAGATATTGGATGATCAATATTATTGAGACCCAATCTATTGCATTGGTGCATGCCTAATCAAGAGCTCAAGGAATATTTATTGCGGCAAGTAAATGAAATAGAAGCATATTACGACAAATATTTGTATGCTTTTTTTTAAAGAAAAATTTTTAAATTTTAAAGTGATAGCAGCAGACCTAAATATCTTACTTTTTCTTTTTCTGCGATTGATGAACCGTTCAATAGCAACGATTTAAAAGATGATGTATCTTTGTGATGATATCCCGTAGAAAAAGTAATTTACTCGCATTTTGCTGGGTTTAAAGGTATATACCATTTCTCTGACCATTCTTCTATTTTTTTGAGATCGCGGTTTCGACTTTGCTCGCAGAAAGCTGGATCTTTATGACGATTTAAGAGAATAACATCATCTGGGAACAATCTCACAACACTTTCTACGTCATTAGGTAAATCATCAATATATACTAAAAATAGTAGAGGTCCAATGACCGATCCTTGTGGTACACCTTTTGATATTTGTTTCCTTTCAGAAGCAGAGCCGTCCAGAATCGTTTGGATTGTCCTGTCTCTTAGGTAATTTTCAATCCACTTCAGAGCTTTACCTCTAACTCCTTTTTTATAAAGTTTTAGCAGCAGAAGTTCATGATTCAAGTTCATGACATTATCAAAAGTCTTACGAAAATCTAACAGAACCGCTCACACATACTTATCTTCAGCTATACCAGAATTAAATCATAATCAACTTCTGCAAAGTTTCGTTATCAAAACTTGTAGTTCATTTAATGAAGCAATCAAATCAATAAGGCTAATAGAGAATTGGAATGAATAACTGCCAGGACTTCAAGGAAGCAGAAGTTTTCTCGCTTATTTTTTTATAGTAAACTTCTTTTACAGAAACACATTCTTTTTTAAATTTCATTACTACTTCTTTATAGAGTTCCAAGTGGTATAATGAATTTTTACTTTTACGGTACAACTTGCATTTCTGTTTATACAAAACACGTAATTTGTCACTAAACCAAACCTTGTCCCTCGGTTCTATAGTTATAGTTTTATTGGGCACAAAAGTATGCATATGTTCGAGAAAAATCTCTTCCAATGCTTTAGCTCTTGCAGTAACATTTCTATAATTTTTGAAGAGCTGGTCAATTGGAATTCTCTGAAACGCCTATTTACAAACGCCCAGTTCACCACGTTATAGTCGTAAACGGTGCGTAAAATTTTGTCTTTTCGATCCAGAGAAGCGTTTAATCGAAATTCTATAAAATTATGGTCACTTCGACAAAGAGTTGGTTGTATTTTTATATCAGATATTAATGAAGGATTTTGAGCAATGACTAAATCTAGACATGTTCTAGACGGATCTGTAGTAATTCCACGCACTACTTGATACATAGATATTGATGCGAGATAATCATTAAGCTCTATACCTTCCTTAGTCGATGGGATGTCATTAATAGACCACGGCCGATAGTGGGAATTAAAGTCCCCGACCATCAGAATCATATCATTCTTGTATTTGCTGTTACTAATTTGCTCTAAAACAGTATCTAACTGTCTGATTAATTTCTGTATAGAAGTAGTTTTGGGCGATAGACATTTAAAATAATCATACTCATTTTATTACTTAGTGTTACGCGCAGCACAAGTATTTCAAACTGTGCCGCTTTAAATTCATGTATGCGCACAAAATAGAACTGCAAAAAAGAGTTTTATAGAGGTTTTACTGTATTCATCCAGTACTGCTATCGGCGCCAAAAATACAATGCAGTCGTGGTTGCTTTCTAAAAAACGTTTGATAGAAGATCTGTGGCCAACCTGAAATGGGTCGAAACAGGCGTAATCAGACACGCTGAATATGATGACAATGTTTGTTTTCATCCGACAATCTTTCCCTTGCCAGGAAGAAATATTTGCAAAAATGGTGCTTTTTCATGTTTCGAGTTCAAGCAGCCTACTCAGCTTCCTCAACCTCCTATAGTATGTTACTATGTAAGAGTCGTTTGAACTCGTAACGAATAAGGTTCATTTAAACTTGTTACAAGTCTAAAAGATTTCATTCATTACGACAATTTTCCGACCTAATCCCGTGGTAGAACTGGTCCACGATTGTTGTCGCCTGCCAACCTCGAATGTTAACAGCTGAATGATGATGCTGATAATGATGGTATTATCGGTCTAGAATCTTTTGAAGACTTGTACATACACTCAGAAACATACGAGTTTTCATCTAGTGATTTTACCATTTTATCTTTATTCATTGCTCCATCGAATAAACATAAAAAAATGGAGAACTGGTCTGGATTTTGCCTAAAGTATTTTCATGTACTGCTCACACAAGATGTAAAAAGAATAGTTTTTCTATAATACAGAATGAACACATGTTCTTCTATCTATCTTCGGCCGAATACAACGCACCAGTAGAGCGTTCCATCAGAGGCGCGAGCAACCGCTGCTCCAATCTGATTGTAATTGCCGTTGAGAATATTCTGCCGATGTCCTGGACTGTTCATCCACATATTCATCACTGTAGCAACGGAGCTGTTTTTGCCCACTGGTACAGGCAATATTTTCTCCTACCGCTTTAAAATGGTAGCCTGCCTGCCGGGCACGGTCACCCACATCCGCTCTTCCAGGGACATTCTCCGTATGGGACATTGTGTGTGTTTGTGCCATCCAATTGGCGTGGCTTTGCGCTGCTTTTCCCAGTCGAGCACGGAGATTACAGTTATGATTTGAGCGACGAATTGGATTGTGGGCGTTGATTACTATGTCGTAAGGAGAATTATTATTTACTTTTTTAACAAGTGTCAATGTACTTACTACTTTGATATGCCATGCGTGTGTTTTTGCTCTCCTGTGAAACAGTGATATCTACAACGTTACATAGACTTTTATACCCTCTTTCTTAGTTATTTATCCTTTCGTAAGACTTCATAATCTTTCCAACTTTCAGAATGAAGCACAAAATAGCTAACATTTACTCGTGACCCATTCGAACAAGAGAAAGACGCCTAAAGAGGAAACTTTCCTATCTCGACATGTTCTGAGTTTTTTAAAATGCCGTCAATATTGTCATACCACTCGAAAAGCGAGTTATAATCAAGAGTTGAAAACATTCATCGATGTTTATAAAATTGAGAATCTGCAAGATAATCTCATCTCAATCAATAATTGTTCAACACAGAATGAACTACGACGAGCTCTTCAAGCCGCGTCAATAGCTAATCAGTTTTCCACCGATACAGAGGGTTATCATTCTTCGTCCACGTCAATAACCACTCCGTCGTTGATTCAAGTCCAATCGATCATTGACAATCGACCATCGTTAATTTTCGACCATTAATTATGCTGCAATTGACGTCGATGTCATCTACCGCCTTTCTGAAAGAACGAAACAGCCTAGAGAACAACCTTCTTCACCTCAACCGAATTATCAACAATCATCTCTCTCTCCACCATCTCCTCACCTCTCCTCACGTATCGTCTCACTCGAATCTCATCGGCCAACCGTGGTTCAACCATTTTACCCATGCAGTTCATACCAAATGCAAGTATAGATACGGCACACATCAGAAAAAGAGTTTCTTTATTTCTCGAATAGTAAACTACAAAAAAGAAACTCAAGAACTGACGACAGACACCTGAGCTACTGCATGCGCTGATCCGCCAGTGCTGATGGCCAACGCTTGATTACATTGTTGGATGTTGCCATTGGCCGTGAATGTGCCGATTTTGGTCATTCCGATTATTTTGCATCGTTGAGGATGTCGAATGCAGATTTCTGGGAATTGTTTTTGTGTAACTCCCGCCCATGGTGGGTGCATAGTACGGCAGGAGATGTGGTGAGGCGAATGACGAGACCATTTGCCCGTGCGGTCCTCTTCCTGTCCATCCAGCTTCTTGAGATTTCCGAGATCCACTTCGACCTCAATCACACAAAGATTGCTGCCATTCCCTCGATGAGCAGCGATGCGATGAGCCCATTTTTTGGTTGTGAAGTAAACTCCTTTACCGAGTCTTCCCTCAGGCGATTCCCGCAGGCCGTCGCGCAGAATTGAATCGGCATTGTCGTACTTTGTACCGTGGAAAAGGCGGCAAGTCGATTGATTTTTTCTACCAATATGAGTGTATTTTTTGTGGTGCTTGGAACCAACTTTGTAACAATGCTCACTTCCGTATCGACAACTAATCATTTGTGAAGCGTCGAGAAAGACAGGCAGACAAGGAGAAAGTACCAAGAGCAGGTAGTTTAAAAACAAGAAAACTCTGTGCTTTTTATGAGACCATATACAGAGCATTCGAGAGAGAATACCAAGAAGGTGAAGAAAAAATCCCGATGTGTCATTGGACAATGAATCACAAGTGAAATTAAGAAACCAGAAGAAAAAGAAATCTATTCAGTTTTTTCTTCTCTTCCTTCTGTTTGGACTAAATAAGTTATTGCACCATTGAATAACAATAACAGAGTGTTAGTGTCCTACTCCTCGAAAGGCTGATAAAAGTAAGCAGAGACCGAGTGGTACAGCACTGAGAGATCTCCGAATCTGTCTTAGTGGATGAGAGGGAGAGATAGACTAACTAACAAAGATAATCACTACCCAAGGGCGATGGAATATGCACCTGATAGTGATGAAATAATTATTAATGAAGCAATATATTTTGTAAATGTAAAAAACGATATTATGAATAAAGTATAAAGTGTAAACTACAAACAAGAAATACAGAAGCACGAGGTCTAACTGTGCACTGACTATATCGACGAAAAAAAGAAGACCAGACTGTGTATATATATACATATGGAATGTGAATATATATATACTACTGTACGAAAATATCGAGGTCGAATAACTAACTGTATATGTGGCAACAGAAAAAGACAAAAAGAAAAGAATTGCGTGGCTGTATAGTCACGCACTAAATGTATGATCAATGAAAAATGAGAAAGAATGAAAATGAACAAAATAGAGAAAGAAATGGCTGACTACCTCAAAAGGTCATAAAAGCTCGTGTAAGGCTAGAGATCGAAGAAATGAAAGCTCTGTCTTAACATGCCCGCTCTCCAAGGGACTTCCGAAGGAATGTCTGTTTCTAACTGTTTGTAGAAACTGATTTCATTGACAAAACTTCTGGTTCTGTCTGAACTTGTTCTGTGAAAATTCAACATTTTCAGACAAGATCATATTCGGAATTAGGATCAAAAAGCTGGATCGAACGACATAGGTCTCAGTGTTTTGGGGAATATTTAGAGTTTGAGTGAAAGTTTTGGTTTTGGACTTTTGAAAAAAACGCGAAACTTCGAGGTCATTCAAAACTCCTAACATCCAAGGTATTCGACCCAGTTCTTGACCCTGAATCTAAATATGACGTTGTTTTTGTCAAAATATTGAATTTTGACCGAGAAAATGGCAGTACAGGTCTAATTTCAGAGTTTTTCACACTGAATTTATAAAAATTGAATTTTTCGACAACGAAGTAAACTTTTCAAAATCTGTACATATTTTTTTTTCTCATAAGTATATAAGTGAGAGTGAAGTATGAAAGTAAATTTTATTTTCCAAATCCTAGGACTACATAGGCTTGCAAGCTTAGCCAGCGGACCTTTTACCATCCTGCTCATCTTCAACGGTTCTTGAAGTTAATCTAAGTTTTAAAATTTCCAAAATACGTTTTATGACGCGATTTTTGATGGAGAGTAAGAAAAAACATTGGTTTGGAATTTTAAAAATAGAATGAAGGATTGAATTTTGAGTTCAATTCAAAATTTTGCCTATTTTCACCTATTTTTGAAAAATAGATATTTAAAATTTTTTTAACTGAAAAATGTGTTCTAAAATTGAGAGATTAAGTTTTTCCTATGCAACTCGATGTGCTCTATCCAACTATGGCAAAAAACGAAAAATAAAACTCTGCATCTTAACAGAAAAGACGAGAAAGAAAGAATGTGTATTTGTTAGTACTTTCTATGTCACACCCCTTCTAATGTCCACAGGTATGAACATTTCAGTACTGGACACGATGCATCAAGACAACTTCACAGAAAATTTATTTTCTTGTGTAACTGTAGAAAGGATCCTTGAGCAATAGTTATCTACCACTACATCTGAAAATCCTTGTAGTGCTAAAGCTATCAAAAAAATTCAAAAATTTGAAACTCTTTAATATCAAAAGTTAATTATCTCAGTCAAGATCCATAGAAAAAATTTCTGTTTTACCAATCAAGAGCTTATGAAGTCTCTAAGGTTGGAACAAAATCCGGTTCTGATATGACGCTTCGTTATTTTTGTATTATATCGATATTATCAATGTCCACAGGTGTGGACATTCGTGGGTAAATGGTTAAGTATTCATCCACTGAACTACTTAGTTTGAAAGTACCTGATCGCTCAAATGATGTCCATCACCAGATATCATATCACGCTTATCATACTCAATCGGTATCAAGTTAACACCCATAGCAGTCGTTAGAGATACTAATTTTAGGCTCTATTCATTTATATCTTCATTGAAAGCTTCAACTGAGCCTTTCAAGCTAATGAAGTTAAAGTAAAAGTTTGCTGTAACGAAGAACGTTTGGAGTGTGGATTGTTGCTGAACATCAGATTCATATTTTATGCACGCCTTCACACAGCACACACTCACTTCAAGCATTAGGCCCCTCATTTCTTGGCATAATTAAACGTTCTTCAAAACATTTATTAACAAAATATTACGATAAATATAACGGTAAAAGTTTGGATAAAGAGATATTTCCATGTTTGCTTAAAAAACTATTTGATGAAGCACTATTACCATCACTAGTAAGAGTATCATTTACAACAAACTGGTCTATATCCTCTTGATCCCGCTGCAATACCGAAGTCCAAGATTAGAGCTAATAACAAGTATTACGGATTATCAGGTGATGTAATGTATTTATTGTGCTACAGGAAATGATATGGAATGCACCCTTGTTTAGAAAAAGAGACAGACCAACCACTACAGCCTAATGAATCGTCAAATGACAGCTCTCCTCCTGTGTTACCAGCAAGCAAAGACAACAGTGTAGTATCTGTTGAAGATGATGTTGGTGAATGTCTTTCTTTTGCTCTATTATTCAAGAATTCTTCATCATCATGTTCAATATCATTAAAAATTCATTCTGTTAGTGCTGGTGAACTTTTACAATTTGATGACTGAGGTGCTCTATGACTATCATCCATTTGGTCTGTCGAATTTGCTGTCGCTACTAATAAGGGCGCTATTGAGTTTAAGATCGTATCAACTGCAGCTAACGCGTCTGAAAAGCGAGAAAAAGCGCTGAGGAGAATGCTGTTAAATGATGTCATATTTTAACTATCGCCAACAGCGCGATGTATAGCGTCATTCGTTGAAGGAAGCTGCTTTGGATCAAGTGCAACCACTGATATTAATTGTGGGGTAGGTTGATGCAAACTTGCTGGTAATACAGGAGGAGAGCTGTCATTTGACGATTCATTAGGCTGTAGTGGTTGGTCTGTCTCTTTTTCTAAACAAGGGTGCATTCCATATCATTTCCTGTAG